AGTTATTCGTTTGCTTGGCTGGTAGTTAGTTGCATGTTGTGCAGTAAGTAAGTCTTCTCCCAAGTAAACTAAAGTGGAATATATGTATGTATACATACACATATGTTTTGCGCCGAAACTTAAGAAAAAGTGGTAAACAATTCGACAGAAATATCAGCATATTTTATGGCCTTTGTGAGTAGAGTCACAATTCGGCCTTCAAAATACGTGGTTAGTTAGTTTTGTATTAAAATTGTCCTATATTGCTACATGTACAGGCTTTGTTGAGTTTCCTGTTTGTCATCTGATATGCAAACTTAGTGGAGCACTAAACAGAAAGGTATCAATCGCAGTTGAAATAAATTTTCTTGCACAAAAATTTGTCATTTTAGTTAATAATTTTTTATTACGCTAAAGCCTGAACGTGATCTGATAAAGTAGACCTTTAAATACTCCTTCCATATTCTTATTCCAAATCTTATTTTGGGAAGTGGTAACGGCAGTGGTAGTCCAAAAAGTAGTGGTAAAAATCAAATGATACGATTAAATAATGTTTTCCTTTATAAAAACTGTTATCGATATGTAATAGTAATGGTAATGGTAACGGCAATGGCAACGGTAATGGTAGATAATAATGATGGTAATATCAATGGCAAAAGACTATGTATTGGTATTGGTATTAATAATAGTAATAGTAATGGTAATGTTAACGGAAATGGTAACGGAAATGGCAACGGTAAAGGTAATGATATGGTAATAATGGCAATAGTAATTGTAAATTTAATAGTAATGGTTATGGAAATAGTAATGGTAAAAATAATGGTAATAGTAATGGTAATGGTAATTCCAATTCTTATGGTAATGTTAATGGTATTTGTAATTGTAATGTTATTTGTAATAATAGTGCTAATGGTAATGGTAATCGTAACGGTAATGGTATTTGTAATTGTAATGTAAACGTAATTGTAATGGTTAATGATAAAGTAAAGGATAATGCTGATGGTCATAGTAATTGGTAATGGTAAAAGTAATGATAGTGGTACCGTTAATGGTGATGGTAATAATAAGAGATCGAATAAGAGTGAGTACATAGTTAGTTTTTTTTATGAGAACTGCAACCATTACGAAATCGATGGACGCCAATCGGATTACTGATTTAATCATGAAATAGAAAGTAATAATTAAAAGGCATATAAATATGCAAAAAATAAAATAAAAAGACGCCTTAACTATGCATAGGAAAAATATATATTTTTCATGTTTTGAAAATGTTTGGCTAAAATTATTTTAGAAACACTAGTTTTATTACTACTTAGCAGCGACGGTAATCATTTTGAGTAAAACAATTTAAATCATCATTTAATCATTATTTTATGATTTTTATTTGTATTATTATTATTAAACAATTCTTATTGAGCTAGAGGCCGGTTTTTTGTGAAAAATTATTGCGGAAAACCAACACCAGTTTATAAATGGTATATTAAAGAATTTTTAAAACCGGTCCCCGAAATAACAATTATTTTTGAACGATAAATGAAACTTACAAGGTGAGTTCTATTCTCCAACAGAAAAATAAGACTCACCGCTAAGTTTTATTTCCTGAATGAAAAATAAAATTCATTTCATAAGTGTTATTTATTGAAAGAAAAATAAACCTCAGCAAGTAAGTATTATTTGATGAGAAAGATACACATCTAAATATAAGGATTAAGTGATAATTTTTTCGATATTGCATATAACTGTTACGGTTCCTGATAATTCCACTTCACTTTTTGGAAAAAAAAGCATCATTTAAATAAGAGATATATATAACGCATCAAAAATTAAAATATCTTTTTGTACCGGACACCAGAGATATGTATGTATTTATATACATATGTACGTACATGCATACTCTTAAGTTTATTTGTTCAATCGACAATGCCAATCAGCATTTCTCGGCTAAACTCAAGTAGCACACTGGTGTATAAATTGGTGTAAATTTATGGATTTTGGTACAAATCTGATTAAATTGAATAAAAAAAGAACATTTTGGTGTATTTGTTATTCCACCACTATTTCTTTCAAATCAAAATTCTACCTTTAACGTTTTGGTACTATTTATTCATTGAGATTAGTACGAAAACTACACCAGCTCCTAAAATGCACCACTTTTTTTATTTGGTTCACAAATTGCTCAACGTTGACAAATGTCATTAAAATTATTCAGTCGTTTTATGTTTACCAACCAACATTTTTGCGTATTTTTATAAATAAATATATAGCCACATTGCGAGTGTCGAGTCGAGTGCAAGTCGTATAAATATGAAATATTCCAAGTTGAATTCCTATTTGAAGTGCTACCGTAGAAAGAAAAACTTTTTGAAGAGATTAAATAACTGTGTCAAACCAATCGACAACAACTTGCAAAATGACCGACAACTATTTGGAAAGTGCGGAAGCATCAACTTTTATATTCGAGACGGAAACAATAAAAATTCTTCATTATCCGGAGAGTATATTATTTCAAAAGAACCAATTATATCAGAGACAAATGATTCAATTTCGCACGATGGTTTGGATGATAATGACGAGGTGGTGGAAAATATATATCGGGAAGTAGAGCCGTCTTCAGTAGACTGTGTCATTGATGATGTGAACATCCATATTGACTTCATGTCTAAATTGGCGGATTGGGCTATAAAATACAAAATAGCCCACTCTGCTGTATCTGAGCTACTTGTTTTATTGCGGAGCGAAGGAAAAACTGAACTGCCGAAAGATGCGCGTACGTTGCTCCATACACCGCGTAATGTGGTAATACAAACAATGGGATCCGGTTCATTCTGGTACTATGGCATTGAAAACTGCTTGCGAAATGCATTTCGTGACATAAATCAAACAATTCAAGTACTTCTCAATTTCAATGTTGATGGTTTACCCCTGTTCCGAAGTAGCAAGTTTCAGTTTTGGCCAGTTTTAATTGACATAGCCAATATGCATGAAATTAGACCAATGGTTGTAGCAATTTATTTCGGCGATTCGAAACCACCATCCAGCGAAGAGTTTTTAAGATCATATGTTGACGAGATTAATAGTCTAATTTTAAATGGAATTGAGTTTCCAAACGGCTCAAAAATATTGATCAAGATTAATGCGTATATTGCAGACACCCCGGCTCGAGCATTTATTAAATGTGAGTAAAGCTCGAACTCCATAGCATGCGTATACATTCGTGTACGTACATTCCACAGTTAAGTTAGCAGATACATAGCAATAGCAATGTTAATGATATAAATGATATAATACCTAATTGTTTTTGGATTTTACAGGCGTTAAGACACACACCGCATATAACAGTTGTACAAAATGTAACGTTGTTGGAGAATTCGATCGATCGGGAAACCACATGAGCTTTCCAAGGTTAGATTGTCGACGAAGAACTCATTTAGATTTTATAAACAAAGTTGATGAAGATCATCATCTATGGAATTCAAGAATGCGACAGTTTTATCACACCCCTTTGGAGGAAATTGAAGGCATTGACATGATAAAAAATTTCCCTATTGCTGATTCGATGCACGTAATTGAATTAGGTATGTTTATTTTAGAAACATATTAGCTCGAAATTAATATTTTCCAACTAAAATCATGTTTTAGGTATTACAAAGCGATGTTTAAATGGATGGGTGAATGGTTCATATAATTTCCGTACTAAAATGCCTGCTTATGAAACGAGTACCATTTCAACATGGCTCAAATTCAGCAATGAGTGGCTGCCATCTGAAATCACAAGACAGGCGCGTGGCCTCGATACATTGTCGTTCTGGAAATCAATAGAATATCGAACATTTTTGTTATACCTTGGCCCAGTGATAATGAAAAGTTTTTTGCCAACTGAGTTTTATAAACACTTTTGGAATTTAGTTTTAGCAACGACGATATATTCATGCGAACGATATGTACAAAGTCCCGGAGTTCTTGACGTCGCTAGGAATTTGATGAATGAATATGTGGAAGAATTTATATCTCTGTATGGAAACGACTCTATCAGCTCCAATGTCCACAATTTAATACATGTTCATGATGACGTTCTGAAATTTGGATCTGTGCGAAATATTTCTGCATATCCATTTGAGAGTACGCTGTATTGGTTG